CGAATGTTTAGGAGGTTCTAGTGCAGCTGTGACACGTTATGCAGAAAAGTTTCCTAGAAGAAACTTACCAAGTAAAAAAACATTTAGAGCCGTTGAACGACGTTGTCGAGAAACTGGGAATGTGAGACCAAATAAAATAAATTCTGGTAGACAAGAACAACAACAAGAACAATTAATAAAGAAAATAATATTTTAAATTTACTTGATCAAGATTTAACAGTTAGCGTAAGGAATATAGCAAGACAAACAAATACTTCTTCTTCAAGTACTTGGCGGATACTGAAAGAACAGCAATTAGATCCTTATCATTACAGACAAGTCCAAGAGCTCTTGCCAGATGATCTACCGGTTAGATTAGATTTTTGTGAAACATTGCAACAAAGGACATTCCACAATCCAAAATTTTTAAAATGCATTCTTTTTACGGACGAGGCCACCTTTACGCGACAAGGTATGTTTAACTCCCATAATGCACACTACTGGTGTGATGAGAATCCACGAGTCAAAAGGGTATCACATTACCAACACACATTTAAAGTTAATGTTTGGGCAGCAACTTTAGGTAACAAATTAATAGGTTATCATATTCTACCTGGAAATTTAAATGGTGATATGTATCTTGATTTTTTAAACAATTCCTTATTCGAGATATTAGAAGATTTAACGCTAAACGAGCGAAGATCTTTTTTTTTATACACGATGGAGCTCCACCACACTTTGATAGAAGGTGTCGTAATTGGTTGAGTAATCATTTTCCGAATCGATGGATGGCTAGAGGTGCAGAAGCTCCGATTCATTGGCCTCCTCGGTCATGCGATTTTAATCCTTTGGACTACACAGTTTGGTCGTATATTAAGGAAAAAGTCTATGCTACAGAGATAAATTCACGCCAAGAATTGGAAGAAAGAATTCAACGTCAATTTAATGACATCATAGCTGATCCCCTACCGTTTAGAAGGTTAATGGAATCTTTAGAAAAAATAATAGACTTGTGTATTCGCGAAAATGGAGGGCATTTTGAACACTTACTGTAATTGAATTTTATTTTATGTTCTTAGTCATTAATTTAATTTTCTTCTTGTGAGTTTTGTTTAATTACTAACTATTTTATACCAGCATCAATTATTACTTCATAATTTTCAAATCAAAATATTCCGAAAACGGTACACAGTATCGAGTTTTACCTAGAGTACCTTTTTCGTGTAAAATTGAATGATGTTTAAGTTTACTTGAAATTTTGATTAATAATTATACTCTTAAAAAAGTTATATTGACTAATACTTAGTACGATCCGTATAACTAGCGCCCTCTATGAGAATCAGATATAAAAACAAATTCATGGGATGTATCATCTTCCAAAATATATTAATATAAAATTTCATTACAATGTTGCCAGTAGTTTCGACAAAATCGTAAAAAATGCGTAAATTTTTTTTTCTTCAACGCCCTGTATCTTGAAAACTGATGGCGTTACAAAAATTTTTTACTAAGCAAACCCCAATTATTTTTCAGTTTTTTACCTACCCTAGAGACGGAGTTACCTTTTTTTGAAACACCCTGTATAAGTATATAGGTATTTCTCAAAATCTTTTATCACTGTTTGACGGTACCAATACAAGGTATTGCAGATAAAAAAATCAGTAATGAACAATTCCGGAATGCTTAGATAGCTTAAAATTTTAAAAACAACTATTTGTCTTTTTCTCGTCTTCCCAAATGTCAGATTTATATATACTAGTTAACATTCAAGCAATTCAACAAATGCAAGGCATAACTCATTCGATAACGCAATCACCAGAGCGAAAAAATATAGTATTTTCGTATTTTTGGATGTAAGCCAGACAATTCATAAATGTGTCCTATTAGTTTATTGTACAAAGGGCCAGAGGGAAGCCAAGTTTAAATTTATTATTGCTGATTATTTCGCAGATATTCACAAAGTACGAATTTTTAGATTTATGTATGCCTTTTCACTTACCACTTTTCGACTAACTTTTCTAGTATTTTATGCAAATTGGATCTTTATTGATAAAATTACAGAGAATTTTGTTTTTTGTAACACTTTTGTGAAAGTATTACAAAAAGTTTTAGGCATTTTTATAATATTCAAAGCTGGAATGCAAATATTTTCTTGTGACGTTGTTTACTAAAATTATAACTTACTGTGAGGACTTGATCTATTTGTTTACACATCTTTCAGATAATCTTTCCTTTTCGTTTGTTTTAGACTATAAATATTGTAAATTCATATAACCCTATTTAAAATCTGAAAATTTGCACTTCAGCATAAATCTAGACATCTAAAATTCTATTCGATACTCAACTCTATAAGGACGAAACTAAAAACATCTCAGTCCAGGACGCCGCCTGACTGACCTTAGTGCAGAATTCGTTCTTCGTACTCCCGGCGATAGTTCTCGAGGTACTTTAAAATGCCCTCCTCGCCTCCCGAACGCCTACCTGCTAAACTAGATCCTCCTGTGTCATCCAGCGATCCGGAAGAGGAATGACCGCTGTAAGGCCGGCATCACTTTCGAAGCACTACCTTCATTCATTCATTCTCCATTCATCCACATCCACACTCCATTCATCAGCAAGGAGGCTCCCTGTCTCGTTCCAGGTAGCGCGTAGAAGACCCTCATCGCTTCTAGTACGACATCAGTTCTAGACGGGAATTTCCTCCTTCCCCACAGTCTGACTCACGCATTCTAACTCATACAGTCTGGCTCACTTCTCTAGCTTCAACTTCCAGCATCTTTCACTCTTACGTCTGCCGTTGGTCCAGCTCTCTTTCTTCCTTTCTTTTTTCTTGATCACTGCACGGATATAGTTGTATATGCTAGTCCAACCTGATTTATTTTCAATCATTCTCTCAATAATTTCTCTCACTGTAACAAAATTCACACCTGTCTCTCTTTCCATTTTGTCCCTTTCTACTATCCATTGTTGCAATCTAACATCGTATGTGTCACAGTGTCCGAGTGTCCACAGTATAGGACATTCATCTGTGTCAGCCTTTCCGAACCTAGAGAGTAGGCCCTAAAACACCGTGTCCTGTAGCACCTGCGTCAGGAAATAATCCAGTCGCCTGTGGCCACAGTCCACCCAATCTCTTATCTTCGGGATCAGCATTTTCGTCCACTGTGTCACATCTTCCGTGCTGTTCCACTCTTCTTGCCATCTTTCAATTGACCTTTCCCTTTCCTGTCTTCTCTCGGCCATAGTAAGGTTTGGGCCTCTTCTCTCATAGAGCTCTTTTCTTTCCACCGCCAAAACATGTAACGGAACACATCCAGTGATGGTCCACAAGGCTGCCGCAGACACAGTCCTGTAGGTGCATACCACTCGCAACAGACTTGTTCTGTCCACTTGTGTCATGAGCCTCCTATAGGCCGTTATCTCTACCGCCTCGCTCCAGACTGGTGCCGCGTAGAGGACGATCGACTGTACAACACCGTGTAAGACCCTTCTCTTTTCAGATTTAGGTCCCCCGATGTTGGGATCACCCTCCCAACGCAGCCGCACTATTCATAGCCTTCCGGACCACACTGCTCCGCAGGTGTTCCCCCCATTTTCCATTCTGGTGCAATGTCACTCCTAGGTACTTTACTTGTTTCTTGGGTGTTAGACATGCTCCTGCACATTGCAATTCAACACTTTGCCTGTTCCTTTTCCCCTTCAGAATGATGGCTTCGGTTTTCTCTGTCGCAAGTTTCAGTCCGTGCTGCGTCATTCATTTCTTTACGACGCGGCTGCGTTCGAACCCGGTATTTGAGATCTGGCTCATCCCGGGCCACTACCAGTACAGTGAGATCATCTGCGAATTCGAAGGGGGTTGTACCCTCTCCGTATTCACAGTACATAACCCCGTCATATGCCAGATTCCATAGCGTCGGGCTCAAGACAGATCCCGGGGGTACCCCGGCCGTCACGTCCACGATCGTGCCTTTTTTCCAACATAATCCTTTTCTCGGAGAGATACTACTCCACCACATTCATCAGGTAACCAGGACATTCTCTCTCCTCTATTGCCTTCATTACCTCGTTTCACTACAGCGTATTGAATGCATTCTTAACATCAAACAACAGCAGGGCCGCCCAGCGATGTTCATTCCCTCTGTTGCGCAATGCTTCGAGTACACTCATGATTGCATCAACCGTGCTTTTCCATTGCCTCCCTATACAAAAACCAAATTGCCTCCGAGATAAATCACCTGATCCCTTAATCATGTCGTTTATGTGTATTCGCAGCATCCTTTCATACAGCTTGCTGATGCATGGAAGAAGACATATTCGATACTCAACTACTCCCGGTGGAACCGAAAGTGGTATCAAGGTTTTTTGGTTTTTCATTTGAAAGTGTATTAATTAAGATATTCGACCGTTTTCATAATTTTCCTAGAATATCATGATACATCGTTTTTTTGTCTTCGGATTATAATACCATTATATCAACAATAATTCTAAAAAAATGTTTGTATTAAAGTTACTTATTTTTTATGAGGAATTCAAATCTACAATAAAAAAATGGGTGTTCCCATTTAAGATTTCAAAGTTGACCCCTTCGGAGTGTAGCAGAAGGGACGCGTTTAGTGTGACTCGATAGATTTTAAAAAAATATTGAACCTTTTTCAGTTTTTCGATCCGATGTTAATTTCGAGAAATATTTGACCGTCCGGCTTTTTTGGCACACCTTGTATATGAAACAGACATTCGAGCAGAATGGGTAACATTCACCGAACATCGCGCGGTTTCCTTGTCGCAGAAGTCTGGCATATTTTGATCAGGTCCTAATTTACTTTGAATTCTTTCGCGATCGAGTCCAGAAGGTCTCACGATCGACCGGTCGATTGCGATCGACCGTTTGAGCACCGCTGGTTAAGGATATTTTGTCATACAAAGTAGATCATATAAAAAATATACACATACAGTAATTATTTTTAATTTTTGCTTTTTGTATGTTAACAACATTATTTAACTTCTTTATATTTTCTTTACAGATGGTTATGAACAAAAATCAAGGGTAAAACGACCACGAGCTCCTCCCCCAGAACCTGAAAACGACGTAGAAAGTGATTTCGAGGAACGGAACAAAGAATTAAATCCGAACTACGTACCTCCTGGATTTCTTAGTCCGTCTGTCATTGAATATCTAGAGCTAGGAAAATCCATACCAGGTACAATATTTTATGATTAACAAAAAGTTTTAATAGCTAAGTATTAATAATATTAAAAAAATGTCTATTTTGATTATTTTGATCAGTTTTTAATTTTTTTATTTCAATAGCATGTCACATTGATACAAGACTGATAATGAATGGTGGACATGTGCTATAGAAGCGTATCCATAAGCTAATCTGCTGCATATGGACACTAGAAGTTATCCCAGAGGATTGGAAAGTAGGAATCATAGTTTCTTTGTAGAAAGCGGAAGACAAATGACTCTGCGAAAATTATAGGGACGAGACAGTGTTAAATGTCGCCTACAAGGTATTTTAAGGAATTATATACAGAAACCTTGAATCATTTCCGGAAGAAATAGTTCGTGAATACCAATAAGGCTTCAGACCAAAGAGGTCAACTATAGACCGAATACATATGTTAAGAGGTGTACATAAAAAATGTGCTGAATATAACATACCAATTTACACCTCGTCTATTGATTTCAAACAGGTATTTGCTAGAGTACATAAAAAGAAAATTAAAAGAAAAGAAAAGAAAATTTGAATTATATTTGACGAAATGCCCCTGAAGATGCTATTTTAAGCGAAAGTACTTGGGCTAGATTTAATTAACTTGTGCTCGATAATAGCCTTATTTTTCAAAGTTTAAAAAGAAAATGTTAAAACAACTATCCGTTAAATACCGAAAAAGTTAGTTAAACTTATGCAAATGACTTTGGAGGATTCTAAATCCACGATGAGAATAGATGGAGATATAAGATTTTTGGAGATAGAGGTAGATAGAGATATATTAGATAAAAATGGAGTTAGACAAGGTGATGCCATATCAACAACATTTTTTAATCTAACTTGAATGCTGTTTTAATATAAGATACACTCAAATAAGCGCTCACGGTGATGATGTTGCCAGAATAAGTAGCAATAGAAAGATATTGAGTGAAAAAGCAAAAGATTGGAAACGAGAAGACGCTGCATTTGGTCTAAATGTAAATAAAAGGAAAACAAAATACCTGAAGTACACGAAGTCAAATCAACTACCTAGGCTCAATAATAAACGTTAGCAACAACGTCAGTCAAGAAATACAAGCACGAATTCTTAGCGGAGATCCGCTCAATCATCCTTATCATCACTCAAGTCAGTTGTTTATAAAACTCAACCTGCGTCACTTGTTGAACTGCGAGAAAGAATTACGCAATCATGTCTCGCTATTACTAGAACAACATTTGCCAAAGTTCGTGCAGAATTTGATAATAGGCTGTATTATTGTTTACAAAACAACTGAACCCACTTTGAACATTTACTTAATTCACATTTTTAACAAATTTGTAGTTCAACAAAAACAAAAAAACAATTTAAACTTTTTTGGTTGTGGTGGATGGGGCCTAGGGGGTTGATGGGGGTGAGTTGTCTTGTATGTCATATTAGTTCCCCCTTACTATCCTAGAAATGGTTTCAAGCATTTTTCGATATCAGCTTTTGTTCGTTAAATACAGGGTGAGTCATGAGGAACTTTACATACTTCTACCATATGTAGAGTCCCTCAGGGAGCATATCATGTGGCCACTAAAAAATGTCAACTCCTCTTCTTTATTAATTAACAGGGTGATTTGTGTAATTGACCATTTATTTCATTTTACTGTAGTGTTTATACGGCTCATTTGATTTTTTTAATTTTTGCATGATACAGTACACTACTATCAAGCATTCGACTGGTATTAGCTAAACTAAAAAATTCCAGGACTGGCTTTGGAAAAATTAATTTAGGGATTCGTATTAAATATTACACCCTGTATATATATTTTTTAAAATGCAATAAGTGATTTTCAAACTACATAAATAGCCAATGAAAACGACATATGCGACAATGTTGTCGCACTTTTATTAAATTTTTAGTGAACGATCAAATCTTACCAAAAATAGAACAACCATAATGAAGTATCAAATTATAAGGTAATTAATTTAAACAAATGTTATAAATTTCAAACATTTTAATTGAAATGATAAACTGAGTCACTGCACAACAAAAAACAGTAACTACTAACAATAACGAAGAACAATTAAAAAAAAAACTAAAAATATGTACATAGTTATGATAAACCCATAAATTAGAACTGGAAAAGATACAATAATGGTAACAAAATAAAAATAATTCAAAATAGATTTTCGAAATGGAACCCTGCAGCCTGTACACATTTTTGTTGCCGAATTGTTAATTGACGTATTGAATTACGGATACTCTGGGGATCGTTTCTAATAGTATTACAACAATGTATAATTCTATCAATTAATTGTTGTCGGTTATTAATATTCACTGCGTAAACTAGTTGCTTCAATCGTCCCCAAATATGGTAATCAACGGGATTGAAATCAGGGGATCTTGAAGGCCACGAAATAGGACCTGCACGTCCTATCCACCTGTTGCCATAAACATTATTGAGATGTTGTCTCACTGCCAGTAAAAAGTGTGGGGTGCCCCATCATGCTGAAAATACATCCCTCGGATAGCAACGTTCGCGTTGGCAAGCAAATTCGGCAAAATATTTTGTAGAAAGTTCAAATAGACCTGCCCTGTTAAAGGACCATCAAAAAAGTGAGGACCTACTAATTGGTTATTTATGACACCAATCCACACGTTAACCGAAAACCTTAACTGAGAACGACGTTCTCGAATAGCATGGGGATTTTCTTCTGCCCACACATGTGAATTTCGTGAATTATTTATCCCGTCTCTGGTAAATTGGGCTTCATCTGTAAATAGTGTCCTGTATAGCGTTGGTCGATTATTGTTAATCCATCTACAAAATTCCAACCTATCGATCTCATCTCCAGCATGTAGTCGCTGAACCATTTGAATGTGATATGGGTATAGATTATTTTTTTGTAAGACTCTACTTACTTTTGATTGAGTAACATTGAGTTCTCGACTTACTTGTCTAGTGCTTATTGTAGGGTTCATAGTAACGGCGTCCATAATGTCATCTTCCTGCGCTTCATCTACATGTCGCTCTGTTGTTCCACTAGGAAAAGTGCCATTTTCTCGCAAATAATTAAAAACTGACCCAAATGTTGGATGACTGGGAGTTCGACGATTAGGAAATCTCCTGCGATATTCTCTACTAGCAGCCCTACCATTCCCATTACAGAATCCATAAACAAATATTATGTCTGCATATTCTGTGGTCGAAAACTGATGTGGCATTTTGAACGAAAGTAACAAAAGCTCTACCAAAACTAACACAATGTACTTAACGTAGATATGACAGAAGAAATATGTATTCTTGTACACATAAATAACAATTGATAATGACAATAATGACAATGGGTATAAAATATCAAGAAACGTCAAACGGTCAACGCCAACCTTCATTTTAAACTTTTTTAGATTTATTTTTATTTAGTACAGTTGATGCAATGTATTATTATTTGACATAAAATTTTAATCATTTACAATCAACAAAAACTAACACATACAAGAGGTTTGACTTTTTAATCAATTTAATTTATTATTTATCGAAAATAATGCCCCAATACGATCTATGAGTAAAAATTTAAAATTGAAAAACAATTGATTCTATCGTAGAGATAATACAAAGTGACAGTAAAGATGTTAATTTTCTACGTATTAGATTATGTTGTAGGAACTCATTTTAATTAAAATGTTTGAAATTTATAACATTTGTTTAAATTAATACCTTATAATTTGATACTTCATTATGGTTGTTCTATTTTTGGTAAGATTTGATCGTTCACTAAAAATTTAATAAAAGTGCGACAACATTGTCGCATATGTCGTTTTCATTGGCTATTTATGTAGTTTGAAAATCACTTATTGCATTTAAAAAATATATTATACAGGGTGTAATATTTAATACGAATCCCTAAATTAATTTTTCCAAAGCCAGTCCTGGAATTTTTTAGTTTAGCTAATACCAGTCGAATGCTTGATAGTAGTGTACTGTATCATGCAAAAATTAAAAAAATCAAATGAGCCGTATAAACACTACAGTAAAATGAAATAAATGGTCAATTACACAAATCACCCTGTTAATTAATAAAGAAGAGGAGTTGACATTTTTTAGTGGCCACATGATATGCTCCCTGAGGGACTCTACATATGGTTGAAGTATGTAAAGTTCCTCATGACTCACCCTGTATAGCCCATTGTAAGTTTTAAAATTGGCACTCTGTATATCTGTACTTATTCTTATCTATATTTACAAATTAAAACTAAACAATAATAAATAGTAGAAAATAGAAAAGATTAAAGATACGTTAATCTAATCTAAGAATTTATTACTTTATAAATACAACTATTACAAAAAACAAATCATATACAGATTATACAGGCCAAACCTTCAAAATAATCACGTCCAATAAATTCTTTGTGAATCATGAGGTCGTGCCTTTTTTACAAATTATGTCAAATCAAATCTAAAAATAAAAAGGAAGTGCTTAAAAGTCAATTAGTAACAGACCAGTTCCGCCTTCTGTACAGTAACGAATTAAAATAATAGTACACTACTCTTGGTGGGGTGCTAATATTAGTACCGCCTTTATTATTGAATTTGTCTATTATTTCAAGTTATGCAGGCCATTCACGTTCCGACTTGTGGTACGACTAGTGGTCCAACTTCTGCAGTTGGATCTGAAATCGGACCGTGAGTGGGCTAGTTGGATTAGTTGGACAACTAGTGGTACGACTAGTGGGACGACTTGAAGATCCGACTTCCGACTGGCGACGAAGTCGGAGCGTGAATGGTGAAGTTGGAAGTCGGATCACAGGTTGGATCGAAAATTTCCTCAGTCAGTTGACTTTCGGCACCTGTTACGTATGAGATTTCTATGAAATACTTTACGCAAAGATCTCTAGTTCGCAAATATTTATTAGAAAATAAACTTTCAATTGCACGAAAATTACCTTTTTGTTAGGGCAAATCATTTTCCTTTCTGTAGATCTATTTCGGACATTCCTATACAGGTAAATTTCCGATAC